AATAAAGTTGGATCAGTTCAAACAGTTTGTTGCTCTGCATTCAGCCTGTTAGAGGCAACACAAATGTCTCCATCCAAGCTCATGTTGTGCTTTGTTGTCCTCTCAGTCCCCCAGGTGGAGGTGGATTCAGGGGTGGAGTCTGTCCAGCTGCCCTTCAAAACCACACTTCACTTGCCTGAAGATGCTAAAGTGGAGTGGAAGGACAAAGGCAGCAGGATGATCTATGTTCATCAGAACGGCTCTGAGCAGCCTGAAGAACAGCACCAGGCTTACAGAGACCGAACGAAGATGAATGAAGACCTGCTGAAAACTGGAGACCTCAGTCTGACCCTGAAATACCCCACAGATGGAGACAACAGGACCTACACCTGCACCGTCTACAGCAGGGAGGGAAACATCCTGCTGAAGAGACAAGTGCAGCTAAAAGTCAGAGGTTAGTGCTGTAGATACAGGTCAAAGGTCATGTAGTGTGATTGAGAGTGAATCAGTGTGAGTGATGGAGGCAGCAGGAAACTAACAGGCTGACTATCTCAGTGAAAGACCATCTCTGAATTGAGGACTAAGGGTACATTCTTTGCCATCTTACTGTGATTGCAGCCATTCACCAACTTTCTGCAAATGGTACTCATGGCCATTGATCAATGGTCATGAGAATTTGAATATTAATGATCAAGGAACTGACCTCCCAGCCCATTGTTCCTTCAGTGAGCTGGTTTCAGTCATTATGCAAATGTCCTGTTTATAAGGTTGGGGAAACCTACAGTCAGCTGAGACTGAAGAAGTCACTTGGATGAGTGACGAAACGTTTCTCCCACCAAAAAATGCTACATCCACTTAAACAGAATCAATCGGTCTTTTTCTAGGAAAACTCCCTGAAATGTAAATCTCATTGAAACAAGTTCAGTGTTTCACAATAAAAGCCTCTTTAAAGCATTGATTCTACTCTGCTGTGGACACAGACAGCTAGAGACCCACGGCTGAGGAGTCCTTCCTGTTAGACCTCTTTGAAATCCGCTTGAAATCTGCCCGGTAACAAAAAAGGGAAAAGTGGATGTCCGCACAGCCCCTCACACTCCCCGTCTGATGACATTTAAGATAAGATAAGATAAGATAAGATAAGATAAGACAAGACAAGACAAAATTGATCCCACAACGGGGAAATTTTTGCGTCACCTCAGCTCAGGTACAGATATATGAAGGAAATACAAAAATACTTAATTTATGTCGCTGTGACCACGCAAACACCACAGTGTTTGTGTCCACTGACATGTTAGAGTGCTTGTACTTTGAAATGCACACAGGAAATGATGTGTTTCCATAAAGAGTGTAGTGCAGTAAGTTTAAAAGAGCAGGGCCAAAGCAGACTGATGGATTATTGTGACATCACTGTTTGATTCTTCTATCAAACAGAAGAAGAAGAAAAGTTCTCTTCAGCAGGGGAGGTCAAAGGTTAAAGGAGAGAAAACACACAGTTCATGGAAATGAAGTAAAGGCCTTCCTCATTGTGATGACCTTTGACCTGCTGCCTGTTATTTTCACTCATTAACGTGTGAAAGCAGCAGCTAGCAGCAGCTTTTAAGGTCCACTGTTTTCTTGCATGTTACTTAATGCAGGCGGTGACATTGTAAAGCAATGAACACTTTAAGGGCAAATTTCCAAAGTGGGAATATGATCATGGAGACAGAGGTTCAGGTTTAGGTGGAGTAATGACCCACCTGCCTCTCTTAAACAGCTACTGCTTGATGGCTGTTCAGTCATGTCCATTAATCCGTAAATGCCTGTTTCTAATCACTGATTTATTCCATACATTTATCCCACTTTACACAACAGTTACTGAGAGAAGTTAATTTCAGAAGATGTAAATCTGTCAGCAACTGTGTCACATTTCAGAGTTTAACTAACTTCCTTACAGTACATGTGCATTTCTTCATAGTCAGAATAAGTCAGCACATCAGCCTGAGACAAGAGTAAATGTAAAAAAGAAGAAGTTTTCATCCAGAGGTCTGTGGTCCAGACAATTTCCAGATGTATTGATATATAAAATTTGGTTATGCTATTCAGTGGTTAGACACCAATTGCCTGTTACATCAGTATAGAATAACAGAATAGAATAGAATAGAAACAGGACCTCTGCAGTCTAGACACTGATGGTGGTGAAGATAAGGCATGGATGGAGCACTGAGCCGAGGTTGGGATGGGGAGGAGGTGGGTTGCATAAAGGAGTCTGCAAAGGAGAACAAAAGATGAGCTGTGAGATTTATATCACACAGAGGAGGCTGATTGGCCTGAAGAGTGTGGGCAGTGAGATAATTGGACTAGAATAATGATGGCAGTTTTGAGTTTGATGGTATGGGAAAGTGGAAGTTAAGTAACAAGCAGCCAAACACCTGGAAAGCAGACAGATGAGTGAATACAGATGTTCCTTGTTGAACTTACACATGAGCTTCATTTCATGATCTGCAGAGTCAGTATGAAGTTTATTCTGTTTAGCGTCCAAAGAAAGAAAAGAGCTTCCTGTAGATCCTTGTAAATGTGATGTCTGTAAGATGTCTCCTCTCTCTTTGTCTGAATGAATGTTCTTGAGCAGCTCAGCTCTGTGCTAATAACTACTTTATTCCACATCTGTATTCATAAAAGTGAATAACAGTGGATCATCTCTCATCTAATCAGCATTTCTAATGTTGTGTTTGTTGTCCTCTCAGTCTGTCAAGTGGAGGTGGATTCAGGGGTGGAGTGTGTCCAGCTGCCCTTCAAATCCACAGAAAACCTGCCTGAAGACGCTAAAGTGGAGTGGAAGGATGTGAGATCCAGAACGGTCCATGTGTATAAGAACGGCTCTGATCAGCCTGAAGAACAGCACCAGGTTTACAGAGACCGAACGAAGATGAATGAAGACCTGCTGAGAACTGGAGACCTCAGTCTGACCCTGAAACACCCCACAGACTGGGACAGCGATGATTTCATATGTGAAGTTTGGAGGAGTGGAAACATCCTTAGAACAAAATCACTACTGCTTAAAGTCAGAGGTTTGGTCCTTTGTTTGTCTTGTTTTCCTGGCTGCCACTGAGGACAGACTTTCTGGACTCTGACTCACACATCATTTCTTCTTCTCATGTTTCATCCTCAGCTCACATGATTGCAGACATGAGCATGAAAAGCTCTGACAGGAAACTATGTCCGGGCTT